CATGTCTTTACTGGGACTTTCGATAAATTCACCTGGTAATCTAAGTGTCGTGCCATAAACCATTTCTGCAGGAGTCGCCTTGATGAAGTTTTTGTGTTTTGTGCCAATTAATCTCGTGGGTTCATTGAATAATTTTGACTCGAATTGTCGACCTTGGTCGGTTATTATTTCAGATGGCACGCCGTAATGTGCGATCCAACCCTCCAGTAATGTTGCCGCCACTGTGCTTGCATTAATATCAGCCATAGGGATAGCAACTGCCCATCTGGTAAAACGATCAATGCCCGTTAAACAGTAGCTGAATCCATTTGACATTGGTAATGGCCCTATGATATCGATATGTAGTGAAGAAAATCGTTGCTCTGGTAGCTTGAAACTACCAAGTATTGTTTGATTATATCTGGATACCTTGGTACGTTGGCATGGATGACAAGATTTTACCATCTTCGTTATGTCTTTTTTCATGCCTGGCCAAACGAAACGCTCACATATTTGTTTGATTGATGATTTACTTCCTGGATGCCCCAGATTGTGTATCGCCCGGAAAACTTGCTGTCGATGTCTTTGAGGAACCCAGGGACGCGCTCGTTTAGTTGACACATCGCATGCAATTGGATTCATAGAGTTTGGCATGCTGATCCACTTGAGTTCCAACGATGTCTGATTTTTGGTTAACAGGTTTTTTAATTCAGCGTCGTCTTTCTGGCTCTCAGCTAACTTGTTGAAATCAATCTGTTGGCAGCCATTTATTTCTTTAATACATGAAAGTAAATCTGTTACGTTGTTATTTTTTCCGGCGATGTGTTGTATGTCTGTCGTGAACTGTCCAGATGCCTTAACTGCCTTGGAGATGCCTTTTCAGGTTTCTGTTGAAACACAAATATGATAGGCTTGTGATCCGTCAAAACTGTGCATTTTCTACCTTCGATCATGTGCACAAAGTGTTTAATGGCTTGGTAGATGACAAGCAATTCTCTATCGTATGTGCTGTATCGTTTTTGAGTGTCGGTTAGACGCTTTGAATAAAAACCGAGAGGTTCGATCTGTCCATTTCGTATGTGGTGTAGTTCTGCACCTACTGCTGAGTTGCTTGCATCGACGTGGAGCACCAGTTTACCGTCTGTGGTTGAATGTGCTAATGTACTTGCATCTGCGAGTGCTTTTTTGTAAGTTACAAAAGTCAATTTTGCATCTTCTGTCCATTCTTTTATTGCGGTTTTGTTTTTAATTTTAATAGTTTATTGTTTTTTTATTATTAAGTTATTTTATTACTTATTATTTATTGTAAAGGTTTTTAAAAAACAACATATCTAGGTAAAAAATTGTACCATATATAAATGGTGACTTATAATTTATAAATTCAGTTATTAATATCATATTGCAATTTAAATATTAAAAGTGTTTTAATTTAGCCAATTGTGAAATAAGTGAGGATAATGATAACAAGTGCCTTGATGATGTGCTTTCTTCTTCTTTGATAAAACTCGATGAAAATAACTTTAGGGTGTCTAGTAACTGTGTAATAGAAGCCTACTCTGATCTAGAGTGCAATGACATCGCAAATTGCATTACATCAGATGCATTTTCCAATTCAAAGAACATAAATATTGATTTATTGTCTTTAAGATACACAATAGGGTACGTAGCTAAAAAAATACTTTTAAAACTAAATAGTGAAGCTTGCAATATAAACTTAAAAAAAAGGGATGAAATTTTGACTGCTCCAAGTGAGCTTTTCATCTACTATAAAAATTATAATTCTCTTTCAAATTTCGGTAACCTGTTTGCGCCATCAGAAAGTTTTTTCAATGTTTCTTGTAAACATGTCGAGGTTTTTAAAACTGTATTCGAAAATAAACCAGACGCAATTGGCATTAAAAGTTTAATAATAGAAATGTGCAAGAAAAAAACCCCTCAGTGGTTTAATGGGCCCTGTACAAACATCTAATCCAGCTTCTTGATTTTTTAATTCTGCTTTTACTTCGTAAGCATTGCTTGTGGGCCTTAGAGAAGTCTAAAATCAACAAACATTTCTATAATGAATAAGAAATATGTTAGCTCTACAATTCAAGTTAGCACTTAATATACATAAGATCAATTAATACAATTCTTATTAACAATAATGTAAAAGAACTTAGCCAGAATTTAGTCATAAAAATATATAGTGAATTTATATTTTTTTTGAATGTTAAGAATAAGAATATTATTAAAATAATTTGTATTATTAAATAACCAAACATTGTAAAATAGATAATTATATTCTTAGAATTAATTAAGTTAAGCAAGTGTCAAATTAGCGAATATTATGTAAATACATATTTTACATTCTTAGACTTAAATTAAATTGTAATATTGCAAATATTAGTAAAATAATAAAGAACAAAACATACAAAATAGTTTAATAAACAAAATATAAACATATTTAAATATACATACAAATTAAAGAAAACGAACATAATATAAAATGCATATATGTATATACATATGTTTTTATATCTATAGATAATTTATTATTTTAATTTATATATTTACATTTTAAATCTTCTTAATAATATAGATAATGCTTGCCGAGAGATAGAGAGCGTACCACTGTTGCGTACGCCTTAAGTGCAATTTTCAAACGAGATCTTCAAGCTAAAATTGCGTTTGTAGTTGAAAGTCTCGTGCGCCACATCACTCCCTCTCCAGTGACTGAGCGAAGCAATGTCACGATATAATTAGTGATCCTATGCCACTGATTAAACATTCTCCGCAAATCGAACTGGCAACCGAATTCGCCTGCCGCTAGACGATGTTTGAGTTTTCTTTGTATGTTGCTTCTGGTTATTTTCGTCTGCTTTTCGATGAGTACAAGCATGTCGTGCTATCTGATGTTGATTTGTTTCTTGCTCGTCATCACAGAGATAGGCAGCTTTGACCCGATCTATACTTACACGTACTGATTTGTCTTTCCGTAGAATGGTCATCAGCTTATCGTCGCGATCGGTTACCTTAAATGGTCCATCGTAAGGTGCTTTGAGAGGTAGTCGAATAGTGTCATCGCGCAGATAAACATGAGTACATTTGTTAAGATCTGGTTGTACAAATGTTTTTGATATGGAGTGGTTTGCCGTAGGTACTGGTCTTAGTTGCTCGATTACGTCTCGTAGTGATTGTACGAATTCCGAGTTGGACATGTCTTTACTGGGACTTTCGATAAATTCACCTGGTAATCTAAGTGTCGTGCCATAAACCATTTCTGCAGGAGTCGCCTTGATGTCGTTTTTGTGTTTTGTGCCAATTAATCTCGTGGGTTCATTGAATAATTTTGACTCGAATTGTCGACCTTGGTCGGTTATTATTTCAGATGGCACGCCGTAATGTGCGATCCAACCCTCCAGTAATGTTGCCGCCACTGTGCTTGCATTAATATCAGCCATAGGGATAGCAACTGCCCATCTGGTAAAACGATCAATGCCCGTTAAACAGTAGCTGAATCCATTTGACATTGGTAATGGCCCTATGATATCGATATGTAGTGAAGAAAATCGTTGCTCTGGTAGCTTGAAACTACCAAGTATTGTTTGATTATATCTGGATACCTTGGTACGTTGGCATGGATGACAAGATTTTACCATCTTCGTTATGTCTTTTTTCATGCCTGGCCAAACGAAACGCTCACATATTTGTTTGATTGATGATTTACTTCCTGGATGCCCCAGATTGTGTATCGCCCGGAAAACTTGCTGTCGATGTCTTTGAGGAACCCAGGGACGCGCTCGTTTAGTTGACACATCGCATGCAATTGGATTCATAGAGTTTGGCATGCTGATCCACTTGAGTTCCAACGATGTCTGATTTTTGGTTAACAGGTTTTTTAATTCAGCGTCGTCTTTCTGGCTCTCAGCTAACTTGTTAAAATCAATCTGTTGGCAGCCATTTATTTCTTTAATACATGAAAGTAAATCTGTTACGTTGTTATTTTTTCCGGCGATGTGTTGTATGTCTGTCGTGAACTGTCCAGATGCCTTAACTGCCTTGGAGATGCCTTTTCAGGTTTCTGTTGAAACACAAATATGATAGGCTTGTGATCCGTCAAAACTGTGCATTTTCTACCTTCGATCATGTGCACAAAGTGTTTAATGGCTTGGTAGATGACAAGCAATTCTCTATCGTATGTGCTGTATCGTTTTTGAGTGTCGGTTAGACGCTTTGAATAAAAACCGAGAGGTTCGATCTGTCCATTTCGTATGTGGTGTAGTTCTGCACCTACTGCTGAGTTGCTTGCATCGACGTGGAGCACCAGTTTACCGTCTGTGGTTGAATGTGCTAATGTACTTGCATCTGCGAGTGCTTTTTTGTAAGTTACAAAAGTCAATTTTGCATCTTCTGTCCATTCTTTTATTGCGGTTTTGTTTTTAATTTTAATAGTTTATTGTTTTTTTATTATTAAGTTATTTTATTACTTATTATTTATTGTAAAGGTTTTAAAAAACAACATATCTAGGTAAAAAATTGTACCATATATAAATGGTGACTTATAATTTATAAATTCAGTTATTAATATCATATTGCAATTTAAATATTAAAAGTGTTTTAATTTAGCCAATTGTGAAATAAGTGAGGATAATGATAACAAGTGCCTTGATGATGTGCTTTCTTCTTCTTTGATAAAGCTCGATGAAAATAACTTTAGGGTGTCTAGTAACTGTGTAATAGAAGCCTACTCTGATCTAGAGTGCAATGACATCGCAAATTGCATTACATCAGATGCATTTTCCAATTCAAAGAATATAAATATTGATTTATTGTCTTTAAGATACACAATAGGGTACGTAGTTAAAAAAATACTTTCAAAACTAAATTGTGAAGCTTGCAATATAAATTTAAAAAAAAGGGATGAAATTTTGACTGCTCCAAGTGAGCTTTTCATCTACTATAAAAATTATAATTCTCTTTCAAATTTCGGTAACCTGTTTGCGCCATCAGAAAGTTTTTTCAATGTTTCTTGTAAACATGTCGAGGTTTTTAAAAATGTATTCAAGAATAAACCAGATGCAATTGGCATTAAAAGTTTAATAATAGAAATGTGCAAGAAAAAACCCCTCAGTGGTTTAAGGGGCCCTGTAATGAACATTTAATCCAGCTTCTTGATTTTTTAATTCTGCTTTTACTTCGTAAGCATTGCTTGTGGGCCTTAGAGAAGTCTAAAATCAACACACATTTCTAAAATGTATATGAAATATGTTAGCTCTACAATTCAAGTTAGCACTTAATATAAGATCAATTAATACAACTCTTATTAACAATAATGTAAAAGAACTTAGCCAGAATTTAGTCATAAAAATATATAGTGAATTTATATTTTTTTTGAATGTTAAGAATACGAATATTATTAAAATAATTTGTATTATTAAGTAAGCAAATATTGTAAAATAGATAATTATATTTTTAGAATTAATTAAGTTAAGCAAGTGTCAAATTAGCGAATATTATATAAGTACATATTTTACATTCTTAGAATTAAATTAAATTGTAATATTGCAAATATTAGTAAAATAATAAAGAACAAAACATATATACAAAATAGTTTAATAAACGAAATATGAACATATTTAAATATACATACAAATTAAAGAAAACGAACAGAGTATAAAATGCATATATGTATATACATATGTTTTTATGTCCAAATGAGCATATTTATAACCAAAAGAGCGGTTGAGTGTGATAATGTGCACATATCAATGAAAATACAGTCTCTTTGCACACATATAGTAAAAGGACTCAAATATTGAGTAATTCCTGGGTTTTTAAAAAACCAGTAGAACAAAATTTTTGTGACTGATATTTTGTTCGACATGCACACTCTATGTGTATATACTCTTTGGTTCTAGGTATCTATTAATGGGTACCCAAATCACTCAAATCTCTGCCGACGTCGCTTCAGTCGTTTTTGCTTCATACCAAAGAAGATTTTGCAATATTCTCTGCTTCATAGGTTCAAGAAATTTTTATATTTCTTTTTTGTGTTTTTTGCTCTTTGGTGTTGTTATTGCTTCCTTGAATTATAATGTAAGTAGTAAAAAGAATTATTCTCTATTTTATATTCATTCTTGCCTAATTACTATGTGTTTAAATATGGACATATTTTTGTATGTCATTTCGGGGGCAAGAGATATCAAAATTTTATTTGCAGCATTGAAACAATTTTTCATTATGATGGCATTTGAAGAAAGAATTATAATTGTTTTCGTAATTAATTGTTATTAGGTATGGAGCCTAGTATGGTTATTAATATGGAGCGCACTAATTTCCAGACCACCTTTCAGGTATAATGTATGGCGTGTTTTTTTTTACATGGTGTCCCCAGGATGCCTAGTCCATGTTAACGAAGAAATTTTGTTTAGAAAAAATGATATAGAAAATTGATTTTTTTTACTATTTCAAAGTTTGTTTTTATTATTTCTTCACTATTTCGATTATAATTTATAATCGTCCTTAAGAATTTGAAGAACTTTAGTTTTTTATATTAATATACATTAGTATTTTCGACAATAAGATTTTTTGCATATAAATGATAAAGAAATATATTATCACACATAAATAATTGGAAAATAGAATGGTAAAAAAGAAGAAAGAAAACAACCTGCAGAAGATTTTCCGAAAATATTCCTAAACCTACCTAAAATCCTACCACAACAAGGCCCAATGACAAAACGACACAAACAACGCTCAGGAATAGAGGAATACCACCACCAATAAGAGAACACATTTGTTAGTTCTTGACGTTATTAGATATATATATGATACATTATTTTTTATTGTTTATATGTATAAATTGCTTTGTTTAAAATATTAATGTATATTAACACAAAAAATTATAAATTGATCAATATCCCGTGAATAACCATAAAAAATAGCGAAAGTTTCTACGTAATAAATATTAATATTTACATATTTATACATATTTATTAACACATGCTTATTAATAACTATCTTAAAATTAATTCACTTAAACTATGTATTTTGAACAAAATAAATAAATAAAGTAAGTAGTTATGGTAATAAATAAATTATAAATAGATGTTATTAAGCCTGTATTAGGGCAAATTTGTAATATAAGGTCATATAACAATTTATGCCTTAGTCGATTTCACTTTCTCTACCATCCAAAGGAATTGCTTACGAAGTAATATAAGCAGAATAAAGTCCAGCAATTCAATTCGATGAAGTCTGCAGGCCCCAATAAACCAACTCGGTAAATTATGGTAAAGTAAACTAAAATTTCCTAGCGTTTTTTGCACTGCACTTACATATGTTAAAAGTTTTCAAATTTATTTATTTTTTATTATACATCTTATAAAATGTTCCCAATGGTAATATCAAATTTACCTAATTTACCATACTCGAAATTCTGGTAAATACCAACATTCGCTGCCATACGTACATAAATCATTTTCCTCAATTTACCATCAATTACTCGAACTCGCACACGGTCAATTACATACAATTATCTTATTTTAGCTAATACTAATATAATACATATAACTGTTATTATATCTGATTAAAACAAAAAATTGAAATTGGTTGCATTTGCTTCAAATGTTCCTAAAATAAAATCAAAAAATATTCATATTCTTCCAAATAAAAGTACATATGTTTACACCAAAAACTAATTTGACTCTTTTCTTCGTAAACAAGCAAATCTGTTTTTTGTTTTCATTTTTGTCCTTCATTCATGAATACTAAAATTTTGAGAAATACCAAGCATAAGCGCGGCCGATCTAGCAGCATCGCAGGAAGAAGTAAAATCTTCACTCCACCCTCCCGTGCCTGTTGCTGAAAATTTAAAAATTGAGTCATTGTGACTCTATAATATTCTTACTCAATGGCTGCACCAATGTACTTTTCTATGAAAACTAAAGTATGAAAAGGAATGTGAAATATTTGACAAAAAACCGGTTTTTGCATTTTTGCACCAATACTTTTTACTTTGCGCTTTGCAAAAGTAAACTGCAAAACTTTACAAAAAATTGCAAATGATTACCCTGCAAATTTTGTATATGATTACTTTACACAAAACAAAATAAGTAAAATAAAAGAAATCGGTAATAAATAAATAAAAATAGTTTTAAAGGATTAATATTGATGCTCAAAAGAATGAAAAAAAATAGACATATAAAATTAGTTTAGGCAAATATTATTGCTGTTTTTAAAATAAATATAGTTGCTGTTTATCATTTGGCAATAGTTGAAGGGATATCTTATCTTAAATGCAATATTTTAAATTAACTATACTATAATTATTAAACTATAAGCTACTTATAAACTTAAAATTAAAATAAGTTCGATTTTATACTTATATATTACGGTTTATACTTATCTTTATACTAATAATTATATTTGTACAATATATATTTATATTGTACCAATTCCAAAATTTAAAAAAAATTAGAAAATATAAAATTAAGTAAAATAAAATATTTGAATAAAGTGTTCGTGTTGCTGTAAAGCTAGACTTTCTTTGTATGGTGACAAAGAAGCTTTATTAAAATTTAGAGGGGTTTTGAATAACAAAGAAAGAAATAAAGGACAAACACAAAAATTTATTTTAATTTTATTGAAGTTTGGCTGACCATACAACGCTGTTTCGAGTATTGCCAAGTACTCTTCATCAGTGATCTTCCAAACAATAAAGCTGTAGTTTATAAGCTCGTTCTAATTTAAAGCACGGCAAGTGCTTTGGTTGGTGTCACTAATTAAATAAAAATAAGTGACAATAAAACATGGAACTTGAGCATTGAAAGTTTGTGCAGCCTTGGCT